CCCCTCGTGCTGGGTTCGCTCCTCCTCCCTGTCCTCCACTGTCCCTTTCTCATTCTCAACCCTGCTGTGTCCCACCCCAGCTCCCCAGTTACCCTGTGCTCCATTCCCAGTTCCCCAGTTCCCTGCGCCCAGTCCCTCCCAGTGTCCCCAGTCCCTCCCAGTGTCCCCAGTCCTCCCAGTGCCCAGCCTGCCCACGCACAGTTCCCACAGATGAAGAGGATGACGAAGTAGACACAGACGAGCATCCCGGGGAACACGGGGCCGCCATAGGCCATGATCCCATCGTACATCACCGCGTTCCAGTCCTCCCCTGTCAGGATCTGCGGGGGTTGGGGGTCCCCAAACACCGGGGACACCCCAAAATCTCAGTTCCATCTCCCAGCACACCCCTCCCAGTGCTCCCAGTGCTCCCAATACACCTCTGCATACCAGTTCTGAGTGTGCACCAGTACCCTGGAGCAGCTACAGGCTGGTGATGGGATGGTTTGGGGCAGGCTCAGGGTTTTTGGGGTTTCCCCACAGGTTTAGGGGCCTCATGGGATTTCAGGGTCCCCACAGCTGTTGGGGTCTCTCACAGCTTTCAGGGTCTGTCATGGGTTTTGAGGTCCCCCACAGATTTTGGCGTTCCCCATAGTTTTGAGGTCTCCTCGTGTTTGGGGTCCTCCCTGTATTTTGGGCTCTCCCCATAGCTTTCAGAGTCTCCCACCAGTTTCAGGAACCCCCTTCAAGCTTGTGGGTCTCCCTGTAGGATTTCAGGGTCTCCCCAAGTTTTGGGGGAGGTACCTGGAACACGGTGAGCAGGGCCTGTGGGAAGGTGTCAAAGGTGCTGCGCTTGGTCTGGGTCTCATCAAAGCTGAAGCGGCCCCCAAAGAGCTGCATGCCCAGGAGCGCGAAGATGATGATGAAGAGGAAGAGCAGCAGCAGCAGGGAGGCGATGGATTTCATGGAGTTGAGCAGCGATCCCACCAGGTTGCTCAGCGATGCCCAGTGCCTGCGGGACAGTGGGGTTACTGGGAGCACTGGGAAGGGGCTGTGTGGCCGCTGCAGAGCCAACACCCAGCGGTGGGGGGGTGTTGTAGCATTGGGGTGTCACCATGGTGGGACATCACAGTGTTGGGACTTTGGGGTGTCACAGCAATGGGACATTGCRGGGTTGGGGCATCGCGGTGTTGGGGCTTTGGGGTGTTGGAACATGGGAACTGCAGTGTTTGGGTGTTGTGGTGTTGGGGTGTCACGGCTTTGGGACATCGGGGTGTTGCGGTGTTTGGGTTTCTCAGTTTTGGGGCATCGGGGTATCACAGCAACGGGACATTGCGGGGTTGGACTGCTGCAGGGCTGGAACATCACAGTGTTGGGGCTTTGGGGTGTTGGAACACGGGAGCTGCAGTGTTTGGGTGTGGGGGTGTCGTGCCTTTGGGACATTGGGCTGCTGGGGCGCGGTGCTGTCCCCGCGCTGTCCCCACGCTGTCCCCACGCTGTCCCCACGCTGTCCCCGCGCTGTCCCCCCTCACCGGGTGACCTTGAAGACGCGCAGCAGGCGCACGCAGCGCAGCACGGAGATGCCGAGCGGCTCCATGGCGCCGCGCTCCACCAGCGCCGTCTCCAGCACGCCGCCGCACACCACGAAGCAGTCGAAGCGGTTGAAGAAGCTGGCGAAGTAGCACGAGGGCCCGAGCGCGTACAGCTTCAGCACCATCTCGGCGGCGAACAGCGACAGCAGCGCCTTGTTGGCGTACGCTGCG